AATTAGACTAGTACCAGAGCTTCTCTCTCAATTCTAACACAATCCATCTTACCTGCAACTCTTCCCATAACGAAGACCCCTCTCACACGTAAAAAAACAAATATAGCAATTAGACAATTATGAAAAAGGCAGTGGAATGATACAATATTGAAAGAAACAAGTAGTATTTACTTCATTAATTAAACTAATCTTCAAAATGGGCAGTAATAAAATGCTTGATTATATTCAAACACATTTTCAGAGATATATGTATCCATTTTCAAAAACACGTTAGGATTATATTCGAAAACTATTTTCAAAAACATTTCTAACACAGTTCAACAAAGCACATTTTCATGAGATATATTGTATCCATTGTTTTAAATCATGTATAAAGCTATCTAGACCCTCAAAACACGAATTACTAGGGATCTTAATTACAATGATGGCTAATTAATTCTTGATAACTAAGGGAGTGGAGACGCAAGTTGCAGATCAAATGAACCATATTTCCTTCTCCATGGCAGGTGATGATGACCTAGTACTTCCATGGTACCGAAACCACGACATTCTCAATTGCAATGAGTATGGCGAAACCGTAACTGCTTGGGGATATATATTGGTATTTAAAGTGTCTTCGTTTGCAGCACCGTCCTGTTCTCTTCTCAAGCTTCTCTTTTCAGCGGTGGACTGGCTACTTGGTATTTTCTTGACCACTCTACTTGTTTCCACTCTCCTACTAAGACGGCAATTCCAGTAGTTTTTAATCTCATTGTCAGCTCGGCCAGGTAATCTTTTTGCGATGAGAGCCCAACGATTGCCAAGAAGAGAATGAAGCCTGATAATAAGGTCTTCCTCATCAGAAGAGATGTTTCCTCTCTTTATGTCTGGTCGCAGATAGTTAACCCATCTTAACCTGCAACTCTTACCATATCTAAGTACTCCTGCACACGATCCAAATATAGAAAGTTAGACAAGCAAATTAAATCTGCCTACGAATATAATGCTTCATTGAATTGATGTACTAGTAATTAGCTATCTAAAGTATTACCAGCTCTTGCAGGCAAATTTCTCCAATCGCCTTCACCATGTACCCGAATATAATTAATTAGCAAAGTATCTTCTTCAGCACTCCATGGACCTGTATGCAGACCCTGTTTACAGCAACAAAGGGCTATCTTCCCATTTTTCTCTTTTACAAAAATAAGCAATACTCAAAGAGAAAGAAGCCAAGGACAGCACAAGTGAGGACAACACTTCCCCACCGTTTAAAATGCCATGAAAATATGTAGGCCATGATAATTTGACATGTGAATGAAATTATATTTTATGGAATCAAATATTAATAAATTTATAAATTGTCAATGAAAGTTGGAAATGGAAAGAATAAGCCATAGATCCCGTCATGTGCTTACACATTAATTAATGATACACCTCAAAGATTTTTTATATTATTATTATTAATAACTTATGTTTTCGGGTCAGTTTACTCATATCTCGACTAATTCTATGGAGAAGCTATCATACACCAACCCACCACCATGATCTCCTAAATAAATCATGGGTAACGATCTACATTTGCATCTAATGGAGAATCAAATTTGGGACTTTGGGTTTTACCCATTTGCAGTCTCCTTGGACCTGGTTCGCCCTTGCCGTTGGGCTACCCATGGATGGGTTACCTCAGAAACTTGAAAATGTTCCACTTATCGGACCCGTCATATCACTTATTAATTGATTATTTATAATAGAGAATTATCAACGTTTATTCGTATATTAATCTTCAAATAGCTATTTTCTTATATTGCAGAAATAAATTCCGATTATTAGCGATCAATTGCAACTCATATATGAAGCAAAAAAAATATTTGTTTGACTGTCTGCTAGTAGAAATATTTGTCTGCCCGTTAATACATGCATTATATGAGATTAGTAGGGAAAATTCCGATATTTCAATGTGTTCAACACCAACAAGTGAAAACATTTCTTTATTTTGGTTTTTGAAACTGAAACACATCAAAATTATGAAGAAACACGATTCAATTTCTATGTGTAGTTATTTGATTTGCTTAATTAATTAGTTTTTAAATAAAACTTGTTTTCTTCGAATCAGTGAATTGATACCAGGCCAGATCCGTTATTTTTGACTCTGTTTCAGTTTCAATGATATCCTTGACTCAACATTTCGTATTGTTTTTACGTAATAAATCCTCGGCGAATCAGGTGCATGACAATTATTTTCACCGTTTAAATGCCAATTGCCAAACTCCAGTCAAGAAATAAAAGATGCAATATTAATCATCAGTACTGACTTGCAAGATTCTCAGACGACGAATTGCTAGAAGTTTCGAGCAGCTGGGCTTTTAGTAGGGTAGGAAAATTCAAAGCTACCTTTTGTTTTGTTTTTGTTTTTGAAAGCTTCGGGTCTCTCCATACTCGAAGTTATGAGACAAATCCTGATTGGAGCTCGGGTAAGTACCTCTAGCCATAAGGTGCGATTCAAACTTTGACATTGCAGATAAAGTTCGCCCATTTGTTTTAAATGTTACTGAATTCTGCTTACCGAGATGGCTAAAGTGCCAGATCTTACACAGTGAAAAGTAAAAGGCCCTTCTACTGTAAGTAAATCGATGGGATAAACGTAGCGGAAAATGAAAATTTTTCCCATCGATTACTCTGATTAACCCAAGGTTAGGGTCTAATATGTATGTATTTTACATGGTTAAATTGAAAAGAACAAATATAACATTAATCTAGACAAGGATCAGAGATCTTACGTACGTTTAGAGGCTCCTTCAAATGTCTCTGAATCTACTTTGCTACCGATCTAAGAATAAGATCGAACGAACGGTGATCCACACGAAGACAATCTGAAGAACCAAGGGATTTGCTAGATCCTCTTTGGCTTCAAGAATCAAAACAAAATCAAAGAAAAATCTTTGATTAAAAAATGGAAGGCAAACATGAGAGGAGTAGAGAGAAGGAGCTGCCTCTTTTTCTCTTTTTTCTTTGATTGAATGAATGAATTCATTCATTCTGTCAAAACCCTATTCCAATGAGGAATAGGCATGGCTCCAACCTTGTATCCAAACACCCCCTTTGTGGTATTTTTATTTTAAATTAATTATTATTATAATTAAAGTCAATTAATATATTTATGAAATATATTAACATTTAATTAACAATAATAATTCATTTAAATATATGCGTATATATATTTAAATATAATTTCACTTATTTAATTTTAACATTAAATTAAATATAGGCAACAACCTCAGCAAATTTAATTACACTGTGAGATTACCAAAATACCCTTTCGTCCTAAAAGACGAAATGCCCCTTGCACAAACTGATTCTTAAATTATCTTTTATGTGTGTGACGATTAACACCAATTAATTATCTCACTACACACAGACCAAGATTGGCCCCTAGCAAGACATCATGATCACCAAATAGATTCGAATTTAGCGAAACAGCTACCTGTCAAATATATAGTTACCGTGCAATCAAATCCTTTCATCATCTGTTATCTCATTGAGACTGAGATACATAAATAGTATCAACTTCAATTACTCTCTATATGTTTGTATTCATTACTGGACCAATAACCGGAATAATAAATTGGATTGGGCAATGACTCAATCCCACTTTGGCCACCCGTAGACTCCGCATCATACTAGTAGTGAGCAGTATCACGATTAACACCAATTAATCGTCTCACTACACACAGGTCAAGATTGACTCTTAGCAAGGCATCATGGCCACCCAATAGATTCGGATTCAGCGAAACAACTACCCGTCAATGATATTGTTACCGTGCAATCAAATCCTTTCATTATCTGTTATCTCATTGAGACTGAGGTTTAGAAATAGTGTCAACCTCAACTACTCTCGATATATTTGTATTCAGTTACTGGACCAATGACCAGAATAATAAATTGGATTGGGCAACGACTCAATCCCACTGTGGCCACAAATTTAATGTCATTGTCATTTACTGAATTGCGCAATGAGATAACTTCTCCCATACCTGGGAGTGATGAATCCTCTGTCGATCAACCATTGTCTTGATACACTCCTCGATGCAGCCAATCACTACCGTATTGATAGCTCTTAATAGAACTACGTTGGGCTAGTGTCAAACTACACCAGTCGGTGCACAAGGCGCTCCGACGATCTCATGTCAAAGGATCATATGCACCACTATTCATTAGAGGATTTATTCTATAGATATTGGGATTACCATCTATATGGAATCCTTTAATGAGTCAGTCCAGTGAACGTGCCTACAACAAGCACCCATGTGTTGCACCAGGTTGTCGGTAAACAACCTCACCTTAACAAATAACAAGTGAGATCAGTCACTGCCTTTCGATAGGGTCATTCAACACTATGATATTCTTACCTTATTATCTGTGTCCTTGGTCAGAATAATACTGGGGCTATGGACATTTATAGAATGACCACTATATGTGCTCATAGGGTTCTCACTATCAAGATTTGAAACACTTGATACTCTCATCATGATTCTACCATCCTAAAGACATATATCAATATATATATATGAATATGATTTACATGATATAAAATAAAATATCTTTTATTGATCAATGAACATTATTACAATGATTCAATTTTACAATAATTGATTGGCTCTAGGGCACCTACTTTAACATCTACTTACCATAATATTACAAACGGGGAAGGTATATAAACTTGCAAATGATACTTATTATGTAACTGCTCCTAAATCTTAGGAAACAATCACACAGAAAAAAAGAATCAAATTGGACGCTGCCATCGACGTTCAGAAGCTGCTGATAGTCCTCAACAACTTTATCTAGCATGTTATCTTCAATTGGTACGAAGTCTAGGAATGAAATATCACACGCATTATCAAGACTACATCTTTCGTAATTCACAGCTTCTTCTTGAAAAAGATCAGGCCAAAATGGGGAATGAATATTCCATGGCACTTCTTCTATATTATTTGGTGTTACAATGTTATTTTCTTCTTCTTCATGGCCCGATGATGATAGCCCACTTGCCTTGTTATCCTAACCGATGTTTCTGACTGTCACTGAGAATGGGGAAACCTTAACGGCCTTGGGGAGATATATTTTGGTGTTTGTAGTCTCTGCTTTTGAATTGTCCGTGCTCTTCTTCTCAAGTTTCTTTACATTGGTGAACTTGCTCTTCTTCTTTCCCACTCTTGATGCTTTTGGTTGAGTTACTCTACTACTTGTTTCCACTTTCTTGCTAATATTGGAACACCAGTAGTTTTTAATCTCATTGTCAGTACGACCTGGTAGTCTTTTAGCAATGAGAGACCAACGATTGTCAAGAAGAGAATGAAGCCTGATGATAAGGTCCTCCTCATCATATGAATTGTTCCCTCGTCTAATATCTGGTCGCAGATAATTCATCCATCTCAGCCTGCAACTCTTCCCACATCGAAGTAGCCCTACAAATTAAACAATTATCAAATAAGCAATGGAATTATATTTGCTTACTATCAGCGAATTGATGTAACAGGTGAGTTTAGTCTTACCGGCTTTTTTAGGCAAATTTCTCCAATGGCCTTCACCATTTGCCCGAATATAATTAGTTAGCACTGTTAAGATTTTCATAATATGTTGTATATATTTTGTAATTAAGTAAATATTATGTAATCTTTTAGTTATGTCAGGTATACGATCTCAGAATATTCTAGAGATTATGTAATCTCCTAATTATGTCAGACAAAATATTGTGTAATCCGCAATTGACATAATTAGGAGATTTAGGAGATCGTATACTCCCTATATAAATGGTGTAACTCCTTAGTGATAAATAAATGAATTGAAAAAAATACAATTCTTCAATTTAACATGGTATCAGAGCCACTCTCTGATCTAAAAAAAAATTGTTCGTTGTAAAGCAGCCACCCAAAAAAAAAAAAAAAAACACCGGCGAGTAATCATTCCATCGTTGTCAATCCAAGAAGGAGAAAACGACTGCAATCAATCCAATCCTCCAAAGTTCAGTCACTAGAAAACATCCTCCAGCCTATCAGCCCACACACCAACCTCAACTCCACTACCATCAAATCTAGCTGCAACGTGAAACCGGAAAAAAAAACACCACCAGCCATCAAATCCACCCGCAAATCAACACCAAAACCTCCTGCCATATTCAACCTCCAGCCTATCCCAACCATCTTCAACAAATCTGCCATATTCAACACCAAAATACCCAGGAAAAAAAAAAAAATTCCACAACCAACCATCTTCAACAAATCTGCTGCAAATTCACATCATCACCCAAACAACTTCAATCACCAAGAAACACCACCACGTTATCGTCGTTGAAGCCAAGAAGGGAAGAAATTAGATCAACAGAGGAAAAAAAAAAAAAAAAACAGATCGACGCTGAAGCTTGTCGCCGATAAACTTCCAATCTGCCATCGTCTTGTCACCGATTTGCTGCTGTCTCAACCATTTTCGCCACCATCTCCGATTGTTGCTAGTGTCGTAGACTTGCTGACGTCAACCCCGATCTATTTTCGACTACTCTGATCGGTAGTTGCTGTGCCACCGTGACTTGCTTGTTGTGCTTGTTGAGAGTTTGTTTTTAAACTTTTTTTTTCTTTATTTTTTTTATTCTTAAGTAATATTAAAAAAAAAAAGTCAAAAAAAAAAAAAAAAAAGGGTCGACAATGTCTGAATCATCAGGATCAAAACCCATTATTATTTAACCCGATGGAGTTTTCAATGCAGGAATCACTCTTACTGAATCGAATTATGATGTATGGTCTCAGCTTATGGAAATGCATATTGCGGAGAGAGAAAAACTTTCCTATATTCGTGAAAAGAAACCACCACCAAAGGAATCCGACGAGGGGTATGAAAAATGGTATGCTGAAAACCAGAAAGTCAAACGATGGTTGTTGATGTCCATGTCTCCTGAAATTATGAAGCATTATCTACGCTTATCCACTGCTCTCGAAATCTGGAGTGCTCTATCCAAAGCTTTCTATGATGGAAGCGATGAGTTACTTGTCTTCTCCTTGCACCAGAAAGCCTTTATTGCTAAACAAAATGGAAGGTCACTCTCTGTCTATTATGGAGAATTGACAGAAATATTTCAGGAATTGAACCACCGAAATACAGTGGTTATGAAGGATCCCGATGACATAATAGCATATAAGAAATCTGTTGAGCAATTGCGAGTTCACATTTTTCTTGCAGGTTTGGATGGAGAGTTCAAACAAATTTGTAGAGAAATTCTACGAAAAAATCCGGTTCCAAATCTAGAAGAGAGTTACTCAGAAGTTCAACGAGAGGCAGTCTGTCAAACTACCTTGAAGGGAGAATCAAGAAATATTGAGACTTCAGCAATGGTGGCCCAAAATAGAAGTCAGCATGCAAAATCCAGCAAATCATACAACACAGACAAGAAATGCACCCACTGCAACAAATCTGGTCATACCAAGAACCAATGTTTTGAACTGGTTGGATATCCAGACTGGTGGGATCACAATCGTGATCAAAGGAAGAAGAATTCCAAGAAAAACTCTATTGCTTCTATTTTGGAAAAGAAAGAAGATGTTGATCAGTGCTCATCATTTGTAGCAACTATTGGAAATGATGGTAAGTCTTTACATATGTGTACATCTGTTTCTAATAGTGCATGGATAATTGATTCTGGTGCTACCGATCACATGACATTTGATTCTATGCATATTTCACACTTAAAACCATCCTCACAGAAATTTGTGTCTACTGCCAATGGTGAGTCCACTCAAGTCATTGGAGAAGGATCAGTAACCTTTCAAAATACTTTAAACTTAGATTCAGTTCTAGTTGTTCCTTCCCTAAATTACAACTTGTTGTCAATCTCACAAATAACCAAAACCTTATCTTGTGTGGTGATTTTTTGGCCTGATTTTTGTGTGTTTAAGAGCATTCAGAAAAAACAAACGATTGGTTGTGGTATTAGACGAGGGCAGCTGTATTACTTGGATTTAGAGAAAAAAAATTCTGCCATAGTACAACAAGCTTTTACAGTCAGTGGCTCGGAAGAAGACAGGCAGAAATCCTCCATCTGGTTATGGCATCGGCGTCTTGGACATGCTTCATTTGGTTACTTGAAGAAATTATTTCCAAGTTTGTTTAAGCAAAGTGATGTTAGTTGTTTCCGCTGTGATGTTTGTGAACTTTCAAAGAGTCATCGAGTTTCTTATCCAATAAAATTGAATAAAAGTTCAAATCCCTTTATGCTTATTCACTCTGATGTCTGGGGGCCCTCCCAAGTTAATACTTTAAGAGGATCACGATGGTTTGTTACTTTCATTGATGACTGTACAAGGATGACTTGGGTTTGTTTGATGAAATCTAAAAGGGAGGTCAATGTGGTATTTCAAAGATTTTACCAAATGGTTCGTACACAATATAATGCTCAAGTTCAGGTTCTACGAAGTGACAATGGAGGAGAATATCAAAGTACAGACCTTCAGCAGTACTTGACAGCACATGGTGTTATTCATCAAACTACTTGCCCCAACACACCCCAACAAAATGGTGTTGCTGAGCGAAAAAATCGGCATTTATTGGAGGTTGTTCGTGCTTCCTTAATAGAAGCTCACATGCCATTGACTTTTTGGGGAGAAGCACTCACTTATGCTGCCTACATAATCAGTCGAATACCTTCTAGCTCAATTGAGTTCCAAACTCCATTTCAAGCTCTTGGTAAAACAGTGAATGCTCCAACGGTTGCAAACTTACCACCTCATGTTTTTGGTTGTGTTGCTTTTGTACACCTCCATAAACATCAACGCAACAAGTTGTCTCCTCGAGCATTGAAATGTGTTTTCGTTGGGTACGGGGTTCATCAAAAGGGTTATCGATGTTACCATCCTCCAACCCAACAACTATTTGTAACCATGGATGTTGTGTTCCATGAAGAGTTGATGTATTTTTCTTCTAAGTCTGAACTTCAGGGGGAGTATTGTCTGGAAGAAATTCAGACTCTGGACTATGCCGTTCAAGATGTGGGAGACTATGAGTCAGAAACTAGACCCGTTGATCAACAAGAAGATGAAGTGGATGAAAATGTCGAGGTGGTATTGTCGTCTGAAGAAACTTCATCTCAGTCTGAATCTCTCATTCCTGGTATGTCACAACCACCATTCACTATAAATGTTCCTGATTTAGAGTCTGAACCAATAGAGTCTGAACCAATTAGGAAGCAGTTACCACCAAGGAGTACTAGAGGGATTCCTAAACCAAGATACGAACCTGAGCCATCTAGTAAGGTCAAATATCCCATGAGTCATTATGTGTCTAATCATCGTCTGTCAGAATCAAATTTGTCATTTGTAAATCAATCATCTACTGTATCTATTCCTGACAGTGTGCAGGAAGCCTTATCTAATCCAAAATGGAAAGCTGCTATGAATGAAAAGATGAAATCATTACAGAAGAATGAGACTTGGGAACTTGTTGATTGTCCACCAGGAAAGAAGACTGTTGGATGTCGATGGGTTTACACTGTGAAGTATAAAGCTGATGGTATGATTGAACGATTTAAAGCAAGACTAGTAGCAAAAGGGTACACTCAAACTCATGGGATAGACTATACAGAGACATTTGCACCCGTAGCCAAAATCAACACAATACGTGTCTTGTTATCTTTGGCTGCAAACCTGGATTGGCCATTACAAAAGTTCGATGTGAAGAATGCTTTCCTACATGGAGAATTGTCTAAAGAAATTTATATGGATCCTCCACCAGGGTGTATTTTACCAGGGAAACATAACAAAAAGGTATGTAAGTTAAAGAAGTCACTGTATGGGTTAAAACAATCTCCGAGGGCATGGTTTAGGAGGTTCACCAAAGCTACGAAGTTTTTTGGCTACCATCAGAGCAATTCAGATCACACACTATTCTTTAAAAAATAGTAAGGAAAGATCACTGCACTTATTGTATATGTGGATGATATGGTGGTTACATGAAATGATCTAGAAGAAAAGAAGGCTCTGCAAAAGTACTTATCAGAAGAATTCGAGATGAAGAACCTAGGTTCTTTGAAATATTTTCTCGGAATTGAATGTCTCGATCTAACAGAGGTATCTTTCTATCACAAAGAAAGTATGCATTGGATGTGTTGCAGGAAACTGGTATGTCAGCATGTCAACCAGCTGATACACCAATCAAAGAAGGCTTGAAATTAGGAGTTGAGAATGATCAAGTACCAGTTGACAAAGGGAGATACCAGAGACTTGTGGGAAGATTGATGTACTTGTCTCACACTAGGCCAGATCTTGTTTATGCATTGAGTATAGTCAGTCAGTTAGTTCATGCATAATCCTGAGGAGCAGCATATGAACGCAGTTATGCGTATCCTGAGATATTTAAAACAATCTCCTGGAAAGGGAATCTTATTTTCTAAAAATAAGGACTACCAAAATGTGCATGCATATACTGATGCTGATTGGGCTAGAGCAGTGGATGACAGATGATCTACTTCTGGTTATTTTACTTTTGTAGGAGGTAATCTAGTCACCTGGAGAAGCAAGAAACAGAATGTTGTGGCACGCTCGAGCGTTGAAGCAGAATTTAGGGGAATGGCACTTGGGATTTGAGAAGCTTTGTGGCTAAGATTTCTACTACAAGATTTGGGTTATCAACCTAATCAACCAATCCAGTTATATTGTGACAATAAAGCAGCATGTGACATTGCTCACAATCCAGTTCAACATGATCGTACGAAGCAAGTTGAAGTAGATAGATTTTTCATCAAAGAAAAACTGGATGAAAAGATTATTGAACTGCCCAAGATTCGATCAGAGGATCAATTGGCAGATATTCTTACCAAGGCTATCTCCAAACGTATTTTCTCACAAGTGTTAGACAAGTTGGGCATGTGTGACATCTACGCACCAACTTGAGGGGAAGTGTTAAGATTTTCATAATATTTTGTATATATTTTGTAATCAAGTAAATATTATGTAATCTTTTAGTTATATCAGGTATACGATCTCAGAATATTCTAGAGATTATGTAATTTCCTAATTATGTCAGACAAAATATTGTGTAATCCGCAATTGACATAATTAGGAGATTTAGGAGATTGTATACTCCCTATATAAAGGGTGTAACTCCTTAGTGATAAATAAATGAATTGAAAACATACAATTCTTCAATTTAACACTGTCTTCTTTCGGACTCCATGGACCAGTACGCAAACCAACCTTAGAGCAACACGGTGCTCTTCCCATTTTTCTTTCTCAGTTACTAGCTAAGCTAAGGAGAATTGTATTGAGCTCTAACGGCTACAGCAGTTTCCCATATTTGAAGGTCACAATGAAGTCTCGCGAGAGTGATGCTGAAATTATCTTATATGTGCACGTAAGATATGATCAGTTACTTGATGTACGTACGATTATTGCTTCGTTGAACTGAACTTCAGACAGGGTTTGAACTATTTTCCGAAAGTGGTAAGTAGTAATATGCTTGCTCAACAACCCTTCATCTGCCTTTCCCACTGACTCTGAAATTGCTCCGTACTTTTGTTTAGCTAGGAACATGCCAAGCTATGATATGAAACTTAATTAAATTCAGTTTTTTTTTTTTTCAAATAATGTATAAGAAGAATTTGTAAAAAAAATTAGTGTAATATCACCAGAATATGAAAAGTTAGGTATGTCTAATAAAAGATTTGAATAATATTAAATGTACTAATTCCTCATACAAAATCTTTCTTACAAATTGATATGACACAAAGTGAATAAATAAATTTGTATACTAAATTAAGTCAATAAATATTATTTAATATAGATGAATGATATGACAATAAAAAGGTTTGAATTATTTGACAACGGAGGTAAATAGTAATTCATGCTCAACAACCATTCACCATCGGCCGCTCTCTCTGAAAGTGGTCCTTACGTCTAACCATTTTCTTCCGATGATGATCCTGATGTTAACAGACGAATCTATTTTTGGTTTTTTCTTTTTAACAAATGACTCCGTAACCATTACTAAATATAGCGAGATGGTGGTATTTTTGTTTTTCTTGAACAAATGACTTCATAACCATTACTATATGTAGCAAGATGGTGGTCCTGCATCGACATGTTAAATCAATGTCCACACCTGGTTTTAACTCTTAAGGTTATATCAATATCAGCCATAAATTAGAGAACAAAAATACAAATATTCATAACATTCCAGAGTGCTGTCCGTGCAAAAGCTTTTTGTTTTTTTAGCAATCTAGAGTGTTTTTTGCTCTGCTGTAGGTTGCTTTGCTGTTGGGCACCAGATTTGGATATCTTTCTTTGGTGACCCTTTTTCGGTTGTTCCGCGGCTCTTTGGCTTGTCAAGGGCCAAGGGGTTGGCGATAGGTTGTATTTTTTTATTCTTTAATTAAATTACCGTGCTTACCGAAAATATTCATATCATTCCATCAAATTTAGATTCTGATATTCAAAGTCAATCTTGACCCCATAACATGAAGTATTAAAGATCCTAATTATGGTATGACTAATTAATTTCTTTGATTTAACATATGTGGAAAAAAGTTTGATTTTGAAGCTCATTCATAACATACATAGATAATTTGCTTCATTATACTGATCTTCAAAAGGGTTTGAATTATTTGCTTCATTAAACTGATCTTTAGGAGGGTCTGAATTATGTGCCGTAGGTGGCAAGTAGCAATGCTTGCTCAACAACTCTTCTATATCTGCCCTTCTCTAAAATCGGTTATGGGTTCTTTCTTTTCACGCTTTGCTTCTTAATTAAAATTTCTTTGGATGATATCAATGTTGTACTAGGTTGGTCATCACTGGTATATCTGTACCGTCACTTGAGCACATTTATTTGATAAATGGATCAGGATGCATGCCCATCTAGGGTTTTATAATATTTCTAAGACTCACAAAAACTTTATAACATGTGTTCCCACATCGAAGTAGCCCTAAAACATTAAACAATTATGAAATAAACAAGCAAATTTTAGTATATTACTAAACTTGGAAATACAAATGTTTAAACAATTGAAATAAACAAGAAATTTTAGTCATATACTAAACTTGGAAATACAAATGTTTAAACAATTATGTAAACAAGCAAATTTAGTCACATACTAAACTTGGAAATAAAAATGTACAGATGAGTTGAGTATTACCGGCTCTTTTAGGCAAATCCTCCAATGGCCTTCACCATGAATCCGAATATAATAAATTAACACACTATCTTCTTTAGGACTCCATGGACCTGTGCGCAAACCAACCTTAGACAGCTGGGGTTCTTCCCTTACTTTATCTTCCTTACTTACTCCCTACACAAGGAAGTCTTATAGAGAAGCTTATAAGAAGATGATGATGGAACTATAAATTAAATTCAACAGCTTCCCACAATTTAAAAGATCAGTAAAGTCTAGGACGTCATGATCCAGCATTATTCTGAAATGATTTTTATTAAAATTTTAAAATTTTCGATATTCGAATCAAAAGTTAATTGTTGCTTTACATGAGACAAAATTATTTATAGTGAACTGAAAGAATATGTTATTATTTTTTTTTTTTTCATAGGAAATTAGAAATATCATTTATGTTAAGATTGTATGTGGGATTTTAACTTGAGAACTTTGGTTCTTATGCCATGTCAAGTTATCATCCCACCAAAAAACTTAAGCTTGTAGATTAGGTCCAACATATAGTAAACCAAAACACATGAAGGTAAAAGACCAAAACCATCATGTGGCGTCAACAAAACTTTACATAAAACCCTAATTTAAACTGAAGTATACCCCCTATTCCTTAAAGGTAAAATACCATACATTATTTTCATTTAATTTTCTATACAAGGATTTAAACTAAAATTAGGATTGAAAAGTTAATTTTTGTATGGATGATAATATTTGAAATTTTTTTCACTTGAGTAAAATCCTTACTCCCACTGCACGTAAGATTATTGCTCTTTAACCAAACTTAAAAAAAGGGTTTGAGGCGATGCTTGCCCAATAACCCTTCACTCTCTGCTTTTCTCTGAATTGCTCCTTATTTTGTTAATTGTTTATCTAGGAAAATACGCATGCCTATGATATGTTCTTGCATTATATATGTAATAACTTACGATGTACTAAAGACGTTAGAGGTAATTCTAATTCATACAGAAATACAATTTAAATTTTGAGTTATGATAACGAGGAATTATACTGCATGGCCAGCTACTTTAATCAAACAGAAAGGTATCCGCAAGAATCAAATTGCACGTTGTTCTCCGAGTTGAGAAGCTTCTCATACTCCGCAATTATTTCATCTAGGTAATGTTATCTTCAATGGGTAGGAAGTCTAAGAATGAATTATCAATTTCTAGCAAGACCGAATTCTTCTATATGAACTTAGCAGCTGCAGCTTTTCTATAAGATCAGACCGACTTCTCAGTGGTTCTTCTGTATCATGTGTTTTATATTTCCTTCTCCATGGCAAGGTGATGATGATTAGTACTTTCCATGGTATCGAAACCACGACGTTCTCAATTGCAATAGAGTATGGCGAAACTAACTGCCTTGGGGATATATATTTGGTATTTAAAGGGTCTTCGTTTGCAGCACCGTCCTTGTTCTTCTTCTCAAGTTTTCTCTTTCAGCGGTGGACTGGCTGCTTGGTATTTTCTTGACCACTCTACTTGTTTCACTTCCCACTAAGACGGCAATTCCAGTAGTTTTAAATCTCATTGTCAGTTCGGCTAGGTTATCTTTCTGCGATGAGAGCCGAACGATTGCCAAGAAGAAAATGAAGCGATAATAAGGTCTTCCTCATCAGAAGAGATGTTTCCTCTCTTATGTCTGGTCGCAGATAGTTAACCCATCTAAACCTGCAACTCTTACCACATCTAAGTACTCCTGCACACAATCCAAATATAGAAAGTTAGACAAGCAAATTAAATCTGTTACGAATAAAATGCTTCATTGAATTGATGTACTAGTAATTAGCATCTAAAGTAGTACCAGCTCTTGCAGGCAAATTTCTCCAACGCCTTCACCATGTACCGAATATAATTAATTAGCAGAGTATCTTCTTCAGCACTCCATGGACCTGTATACAGACCCTGTTTAGAGCAACAAGGGGCTCTTCCCATTTCCTCTTTTACAAAAATAAGCAATACTCAAAGAGAAAGAAACCAAGGACGGACGAGTCAGGACAACACTTATTATATTAATATATTATTGTTAATAGCTATGTGTTCGGACAGTTACTCGTATCTAATAATTTTAAGGAGAAACTATCATACATCAACCACCGCATGATCTCTAAATAAATCATGAGTAATGTACTACATTTGCATCTAATAGAGAATCAAATTTGAGACTTTGGGTTTTACCCATTTGCAGTCCCCTTAGACCTGGTTCGCCCTTACCGTTGAGCTACCCATGGATGGGTTATCTCCCAGATTTGAAAATGTTCCACCTATGACCGTCATATCACTACTAATTGTTATTTATAATAGAGAATTACACTATATTGCAGAAATAAATTCCAATTATTAGCGATCAATGCAACTCATATATGAAGCAAAAAAAATATTTGTTTGGCTGTCTGCTACTAGAATATTTGTCTGCCCGTTAATACATGCATTATAGAGATTAGTAGGAAAATTCCGATATTTCAATGTGTTCAACACCAACAAGTGAAAACATTTCTTTATTTTGGTTTTTGAAACTGAAACACATCAAAATTATGAAGAAACATGTTCAATTATTTCACCGTTTAAATGCCATTGCCAAACTCCAGTAAGAAATAAAAGATGCAGTATTAATCGTTAGGACTGACTTGCAAGATTCTCAGACGAGGAATTGCTAGAAGTTTCGAGCAGCTGGGCTTTTAGTAGGAAAGGAAAATTCAAAGCTGCCTTTTTTTTTTTTTTTTTTTTTTTTCTGATAGCTTCGGGTCTCCATAATCGAAGCTATGAGACTAATCATGATTGGAGCTCGGGTAAGTACCTCTAGTCACAGGGTACTGCGGTGGATTCAAACTCTGACATTGCAGATAAAGTTCGCCCCCCTTTTATTTTGTTAAATGTTACTGAATTCTGCTTACCGAGATGGCAAAGTGCCAAATCTTACACAATGAAAAGTAAATGGCCCTTCTACTGTAAGTAAATCGATAGGACAAACGCAATGGAAAACGAAAATTTTTCCCATCGATTACTCTGATTAACCCAAATCATAGTCTAATATGTATATACTTACATATTTAAATTGAAAGAAACA